GTGAACAGGCACATGCATTTCTGCATGTTTTAAACCTTACTAAAGGTTTTGCCTATTGTCCCGATTTTCCCAATTATTCGGTGTGTTTATTCCTATCTTTTGTGTGTTCATTGTTTGTTTTGTATACTTTTTTGGGGGGAGATCGAAATGAAATGGTAACTGGACAAGAGGCCGCGTTCTTATCAATCTCATTCAGTACGGCACACTATACAAATCGGGTGGCATTGTCCCGTTTCAGAGAAACCCAATTTACAGATGATCAGACACCTCTCCTTTGGGAGACGTCTGGACATTGTTGTCCCTCAATATCGGTAATAATACAGTATAATGAAGTTGCGCAAAATACTACAAAAATTTAGACACTATACAGACTATAGATTGCGCTTTTTTGTAGTATTTTGCACAACTTCATTATACTTTATTTTCACCGTTATTGAAGGACAACAATGTCAGACTGAGTCTGGTCATCGGTAAAATGGGTTTCTCAATGTCGCTTGATCTGTATAGTGTGCTGTACTGTATGATGAAGCTGTCTTATCGACCTTCCTCTCCCTCGGGATAAATATGTAAATTATATTCTTCATGATATCTTCATTTCTATTCCCAGTTTTTTTCCTTAAATAATTTGATAATAATTTATAATCTAATTAATCATAATTAATAATTAAATGACCAATGGTGGTGCTCTCACGGAATCAGGCTGGAAATTTTGACATGACAATATGCCGCATACTCATGAAAAGACGTTTCTTCACTGGTATGGTCGTATTTACATCAATTATTTTGATAAGTTTTATCGTCTTTGCACCTCGAAGTATAAATATTCCTGTCATGTTGAAAGAAGAACGAATCGGTAATCAAGAAAACTTGATTGAAATTGAAAAAGGACGGATTCTGGTAGAAACTCAATCAAAAGTTACTTTGCCTACTTCAACTCAGAAACCGAAAATTCAATTTCAAACTAAAGCATCTAAGATAAAAAATGAAAGTATAGCAAACACCATTTCACGTCAGATGCAAGATATTTCAAAGAAGATAACCATTCCTCCTAAAGTAGTTGTACGAAAACCAGAAGTTCACAAACTTCCTAATAATAATATAATTCCAATGCTAAAGATACAACCTGGTGCCCCACGAAGATACATACATGATGTGCAAGGCTATCAAAAATATGTCGAATATCTGAAAATGACAGAACCGTTACTTCCGAAGCAAACGAACGCTGTTGTGATATTAACTAATCATAGATCAGGATCATCATTTTTTGGAGAACTTTTTAATCAACATCCAGACGTTTTTTATGTTTTTGAACCGATATTCCCATTTTCAAACTCATCGGAATGTAAAATGGCATCATTAAAAAAAAAAGTGCTTGCAAATATTGCGCAATGCGTTTTTCCGAACTGGGCAGAGATATACAAAAGTATTCCAGTGTCTGATTATCTTAAAAATAATCATAATATGAGATTTTGTTTGGCACATCGAGTCTGTTTTCGTGTTAATACGAAGGAACTCATTGAAGAAAAACATTGCCCAAATGTAAATCGTGTAAAATATTTGAGTGCCGATTGTGGTGCCGTAAATATAAACCTGGCTATGAATGATTGCCGCAGGAAGAAAATGGTTGTTTTTAAAGTGATCAGACTCTGCGATATTTTAAATTTAGAAGAGATTATGAAACTCCCAACACATAATGTCAAAGTATTGCATTTGATTCGCGACCCCCGAGGAATTGCAAATTCAAGAAAACCTTTATTAAAGGGTATAGATATGAAAGAATCGTTACGTAGTACGTGCGCTCGCCAATCTCATAATATGATGATGGGCTTGTTTGATACGCCTGAATGGTTGCAAGGTCGTTACAAAGCCGTTAGATATGAGGACGCATCGTTGTATCCATATGATACCGCCCAGTCAGTGTACGATTTCCTTGGGCTGGATTTTTATAAATCGCTAAAAGATTGGATAAAAAAGAACACAAATATTGAGATTCCAAGTGAAATACTCGAGGAGACCTCTAGTGTTAGCAAACGAGATGTTGATCCCAAGCAACAAGCACATCTTCTGAGAGGACGAATAAATCTGGTAAAAAAACCAAAAGTAATATTCAACCCGTATGGACGCAAAAGGAACTCAACCGCGATAGTTCAAAAATGGACAAACTTACTTCCTTATACAACTGTGCAGCAGATTGAAAGCGTCTGCACGAAAATTATGGATTTAGCTGGGTATTTACCTGTGGGATCATCCGAGAATTATCAGAATAAAGACAACAGATATTTTACAGATGAAATGAGAGATTTTGATGCCCTGAATAATGTATGACATTTTAATGTTTTATTACCTATTACATCAACAATATTGCTTCCATGATTTTAGCCTTGCTTTTTTATCAAATCTGAACTTCGATTAGAGGCGTGGCTCACTATACACAATGTTCATAAGCCCTTGTGCAATCAAAATTTTGTTATGAAGTCAGTTCTCAATATATCTTAACCAAGTTTGTTTTATTCTAATCTACCGTAATCAATGTTTGTTTAAGTTTTTACAGTTGTATATGCCCACCATCGGTTGCACGAAACAAACCAAAGTTCTTTTACTCAGTTCAGTGTTTCCCAAACTGTTTCCTGAGTGTTTCATGGAACAGGGATCAAAATTGTGACTAAATTTGTCGCCATGGCTATCTCGGTCGTACTTCGGTGACTCTGGGTCGTAAATCTCCCACATATAATCGTTCACTGACTTTACAAACACTTTGAGCCCAATTGAGCCCTTTGATATAAACTTGCGTAACAAACAGTTGGGATTACGTGAAACTAACTATCTTTCCTTGCTCTATGCTTTGCAGGTGGATCTGTATGCTAATAAGGCAAGGATGCTATAGCAAGAGTGAAAAGACTAAAGAGTCTTACTACACACTAACACAAATGCCAATGTGTTAGTGTGTAGTAACCTCTTGAATTAAATATATAAACTTGCCATAGCAATTAGCAACAATGCAATTTGTGTCAATTTTGTGTTTTTTTTTAGCGATACAAGGACTTTTTTTTTATTTTGTTAAATTGAAAGTACTATTTATTATTGAAAAAAAAATCAAATCCTCTATTAATACTGTTATTTTATCAAAACGTACTATATCATGACATCTATTTTTTTCCTAAAGCTGTCGAAACGTACTAAATCTTGTGCAGTATTTTACGTATTATTCGTCATAAATTTGTTATTATGAATTTGGAGACTTTGAACTGTTTCTTTTTCAGGACTCACTCAGTCATGTTGAGTTTCCTTTAATCAAATGTTTTGCACAGACATGCTATAATTATCTACCATGTCTCCACCAAACAACATTTCACATTGAAAATAAGACCTTTAATAATAAAACTTACTCCTTTTAAAAGCTTATTTTTTTGAAAATAGACTATAATTTGCAATATTTGCAATTTTTATTATCAAAAACTGTTATTAAGTTGGTAGACTTCAAAACATCTAAAAAAAATAAAACTTGTCATATACGTACATCCTTTTTTTGAAGTTGTGCTGTATCATTTGCAGTACTCACTAATCACTATATTCATTCGGTTCCATTACATTTGAACCCACGTACATTTGAACCCACGACAATTGCACCTGTATGCTATTGCACCTATGGAATTTTTTTTGGTTTTAGGGATATTTGTACCCATACTAACCTAACCCATGGGTTTTAGCACCCGCATATAGATTGAACCCGTGGATATACGCATGGGTTCAAATACAAATGGGTTCAAATGTACGGTCACCTATTCATTCATGAATTTGTTATATAGTAAATTTCGAAACTACTTCATACCAATAATAATTTATTACAAAAATTTTAACTACGTTGTCTATTCAATTTTGTTATGTTCTAATAACTATATCTTAACCAGGTTTTATTTTTATCATTTTTTTACTTCTTTCAATACACCAGTAGGGGCACAAACTATGGTATATATGGTATCGATAAATTTCCAATTAAAAAAATTTTAGTCTTTATTCACACCTTGAATAATATGTGCATTTTCAGGTACTCCTGTAGTATGTGTATTAGGGCATAATTTGTTTCGGTCTTCCTTATTCTAGGGACTGTCTGTGTTAGCCAAGTGGGTATCCCTCCTTACCCATAGGCTACATCCCTTTACACAACTTGATGTAAAGTAGGCGAACAAAATTAGTTCCCTCCATATTGGTACACACACTGCTGGAGCGTCCATTTTCATTATTGAAGCTGTTTTTATTGTTTGTACTACATTATTTGAACTATTTTTTATCATTATTTTCAGTATGTGAACACATCGAACACAATTTTTGTTATTTTCCGTAGTAAATCTGTTGCCAATGTTGCATTTCTCAAGCCTCTTGCCATACCTTTTATATCCATTATATTATCAATTTTGATTCATTCATTTTCTGACATAGAATATTACATGGGTGTATTTGCAATTGTTTTGGTCACATTTATCTGTCTGGCTGATGGCCTCTTATCTTGTATCTCTCAGTTTCGTTGATATATTACTTTGAAGTTGTTATCTGTCTTATTTGTATCATATTTGTATGATATTATCTACCTGTCATTTTTATGTTAGTTTACTGTTCGCAGTAGCTTCTTTGTCTTGTACGGGGCTGTAAGGTGGAAAAAATTTACACTCATTCCGAACCAATAAAAACTCGCTTTTCAAAAGTCAAACAAATGTATTTCAATTTGTATGTTGAGGAGACTTCGCTTACAGCTCGCAACACTGAGAAAACCAAATTCTGATAGTAAAAACATCGGCAGTATACAAGATTGCATTTTCTATAGAATGCTATGTCAATTTAATACTTTTTACTCATCGATCTTTAGATCGGTAAGTATGTTGATAGATATTTGTCTGTCTGTCTGTTAGATGCACGTGATATCTCACGAAGGCGTGGTTGAATCTGCTCCAAATTTTGCATGTGCATTTATCATATCGGACTAGAAGCCCATTGATTTTGAATGAATTATGTCGTATAGTTAGCGAGTTATTAATTAATTAGTGATGAGACACATGGTGTCACTATAGAGTCATGAATCGAAACCGCATTTTCGATCGATAAGTCTTCGGTCTCCGACCGATATTCTCATTATTGTTAGTTGGTAATTTTGATTTGGATTACCACCATTAGAAGTCAGAAATTCTGTCTCCAGTATCAATAAAAATATGCAACTTCGACTTCACAGCCTTTGTCCTTTATCTGCCAGCATTTTTCTTTACCCTTTTAAATAGAAATTATTCCGACAATTGCCGGTTCATTGCATATTCAAACTTTTTTTCATTATCTTGATATATCATGTACCTGTTACTACATCGCATAGTTGCAATAGTGTTCATGGAAATGCAGTATATTTTACTCTATATTGTTAAAAGTGTGCAAATTTGTAAATTTTGTATTTTTTCATTCTGAACTCCAGATTTCAGCATGGTTTTTTGTATTATCGTACTCCATCCTAGTATTGGACTTAATGAAGCATGACTTGTAGTATTAAAAAATAGTTCAGGACTTGAAATGAGCAGTAATTTATAAATTATAGTTGTATTGCAATAAATGTTATTTTGTTAAAAAAATTTGAGAATTTATTTTTAATATTCTATGCCTCCATCTTGTCTTAAAAAACAAGTTGCAGAATTATACCACAATGTTATCAGTGTTTAGATTCTGCCAGTTCTACTCCATTGCATTTTTAACTCGGAATAAATTCATCCACAGGTATTTAAAATTTCAGTTTTGTACTAAGTGAAGCTTGACCATTCGGAATAATCGAGTTTAAACAACATGGTGATTATTCTGTATGGTTCCGGTTATTTGGATTTTATCTTGCACAAAAGAATGTTGCAAAATTGCATTTTGATTGCATTTGATTTTAAAAGTATTGCAAATTTAAATAAAATTTGGGGGGTTCTTAATCATCACAGCAATGAAACGGTCTGATAGAATCGAAATGCATTGAAGTTTGGTATTACAGCATACAAGATACATCGTTAATATTGCTACATATTGTTTATTTTATGATGATATTTGTTTTTAATAGTAATAAATGATATAAAAGTAACTTCAAAAATATGGCGAGTGAATTTCAAGATGTTGAAAGTGCTCTGGAACAAATAAAAGTTGAAGATTTATCAGAAGTGAAAAGGATTTTATATGGGAAACCCTGCGAGTAAGAATTTTTGATTTTTATTGAGAGAGAGAGTTTGCTCCAAGCAGGGTCAAATATACTTGCACCCATCTCTGAGCTATCACCATTGAGAGAGAGTTTGCTCATAGTGAGCTCGCATATACTCACACTCATCTCTGAGCTAAGTTACAGGCGATCACTGAATTGTCAAGACTGAGATTTTATAAAATATATGATCGAGCATTATGTGCCAGAAGATTTAATCTGAGTAAAAGGAATTTTATATGGAAAATTGTACTTTATTTTATAATTTTTCAGTTTTTGCGCATGAAGACAAGTCTACTTAGTAGTAATTAGAATGTTGGCTTCAACGTTGGTCACGCAGATAGTGATCTCACTTCAATACTTATGCTCAGTCACCATCTCACCTGGGGCGGTGTGGGGCGTCGTTCTAAGTGTTAGGAATGTGCTCGCCAACTCACCTCGGGTTACCATGCATGGTTTGCAGGTTCGAATTCCATGATGGATAAATTATGTGCGACAGGATTGCTGGACTCCTCTTTGTAGTAAGGTGGTTCACCTAATGCTTTCTCCACCATCAAGTCCATGCACACGAAAACGAATAACTGGCAGACTATTCACATACTCAACATGGCCTGGTAATCGGACGAGAGGCCGTGGTTCGCCATATGGTAAAGCCATCTTATCGGCTTTCCTCTCTCTGAGATAAATATGTGAATCCTATCCTAAAAAATAAGGTCGAATCGCAAAGTTCTTTCAAAATACTCTCTCCTTGCATATCAGTGACTGCTTTTAAAGATCGTTGTTCGAGAGTATAATTACTGAATTCTTTTAAAAAATAATTTCAATTGGATTATATTTTAGTCGAGAGTCAAAGGTTGAAACTTTTAATGGTGGTATTTGCATTGTTATTGTTTTGATTTTGATGGATTTTGTAACTTGTTTTTGCTTTTTTGTATTGTAGCATGATTGCTGCATAATATGATCGATAATGTATCTTCTGTGTAACGGTAGATTACGTAATTACTTAACGAAAGGCATGAGTAAACACCATATAAAAACAAAGAATTTGAACTTTCTGTGACCCCTGACCCCTGGTCTCAATACAGAAAAGGGGCATAGCCAGAAATTTTCAAAGTGATGGTTCTGAAACTTCTGATTGCCAAGTTGAACTGTAACAGCTAGTGTGTCCGGCCTTGAGGTGTTCCAATCCCCCTTTTTCACATTTCGAACGGGGGGGTTCCAACCCACAAGACCACCCCTGGGTATGCCCCTGATACAAAAGATATTTCTAATATTTGACACTGTTTGCCAACCCAGAAGTCAGCTTTTATCAGCCTTCCACTTTTTTGGTGTAAGCGTCTGTTTTATCAGCTTTCCTCTCTGAATCAAAAATGCGTTACGAGTTTCAACTAGGGCTAGGAATCTGAGCCTTGAAGCTTTTAAAGCTGGTGCTAAGCTTACTATGTTAAATAGAGCAGGGTTTACTAAAATTTTTTGGGTGGCGGACGCCCTGTTTGTGAATCCTATTTTTGACGTACCCCCATCTTATGTCGTATCAATTTCTGTGCCTAACTAGCGAGGAAGGAGGATGGGATAATGTTTCTTTTGACGGAATAAAACTAATGAAAGTCTGAATCGATACATACCAACGTTAAATTGGCTGGCTAACGGCAATTCGATAAGATTCTCGTCTATTTAGATATGTTTAAGACTTTTTTCATATCATTGCGGACCCCCTGTGCAGTCATCAAGGTACTCCCAAGTGTTTGGGAAACCCTGAAATAGAGCATACCATACCAAAAACCTCAAAAGCTATGGAGCCGGAGGTGCCATTGTATTTTCAAACCATCTCCTCATAAAACCCTGCCATCTTCGCAATAACCATGTTCATTTTCTTTGCCAGCAAGCTATAAATCTCTGGTCTTTATTTATTATTGGTCTTTTAATGAGCTCGTTCCCTTTTTTTCAGTTTTTCTTTTCTCTGGATAAAAAATGGGTACTCTCGTAGTATGTGAACCAAAATGGCAGGCACCGGTATGTAGTATGTGTACCAGGTTAGGGTTAGGCTATAATTTACAAATACTACGTAATCCCCAAACTCGTAATAGAACTAAAATAAGGAAAATTGGAATAAAATTATGTCCTAACCTGACAGCCTGACAAACATCCTACGTTCCGGTGTCCGTCATCTTGGTTCACATACTACAGGAGCACCAAATAATGCAATGCCAATCTCAACTTTATTTCAATTTTTTTAGCAAGCTAGAAATTCCTGCCTCTGCTGTGTCATCTGCAAATGAGAATGAATTTGAAATAGCTGGATACGAGATTCCGAGTGTAGGAATGGAACAAGGTAGACCTCCCAGACGTGTCAGGATTGGTTTGATTCAGAATAAGATTGTGAAACCAACTGATGCTCCGATAAAAGAACAGGTATGAATAAAATTTGCTGTTAATAAAAGGCTCGGTGTGTGCCGCACCTTGCATTAGGGATACACTTCTTCTAACAGCTTTGAATACTGCATGTTGAAATTTCGGGTACTCCCGTAGTATGTGTACCAGTTTAGGGTTAGGCTATAGTTTTATTCCGATTTTTCCTATTTTAGTTCTATTACGAATTAGGGGACTGTCTATATTAGCGCCAAATAAATATACCCCTGCTCATAGGTTTCAGTCATTTTACACAAATTGATGTAAAGTAGGCAAACAAAATTATTTACCTCCATACAGCATGAATATTTACGAGGAGATTTCTGGACTTTTCGCCAGTTTAGGATTGTTTATGTACTGTAACTAGTGGTCGGTTCTGGCATCATTCACTGTCCAATCCATGCGTCTGTACATAGAGGTTTCTCATATTATGATTAATAATAACAATGATGAAATTTGTTGTTAGGCTCGGTGATTCCCGCACCGTGCATTAGGAACAAGCTTGCTATCACATCTCGTAACATACTTAGCATGTAGCAGCATTGATATACCGTATATGCTTGTTTTACCGCCCGATCTTGATTAAGGGCCCGTTTGAATAGCCGCCCGTGTGAACAGAACATAAAAATAAATAAGGGCCGGTGCTTGAATACCCGCCCGATGTAAAAGCTGATTTTTCAGTGGTAGAGAACAATAAGAAGTGCTTTTGTCATAACACTGTTGAATTTTAAGCGTCAGTAGATAACACTCACGCCTTAGGCAGCCAAGTACATAACAGATAGCATTGATTACGTAACACCATGGTTCTCAAACTGGGCGTCGCCAAGTGCGTTGTTTCCATATTGATAGGGCGTCGCAAAACTTTCCCTTCTTTTGCGGATTTGTACCTGCGGTGCGTAGAAAAAGTTAAAATTTGCGTTATTCTCGTTTAAATCATACTTGAGAATTGGAAATACCAATATATTAATTATTGTAACGATCGAAAATAACAAGCGCCCATGCTTGAATAAGGGCCGGTTTGGATAAGGGCCCAGTTAGTGAGTTTAGTTAAAAAAAATATGGGCCCTGGCTACAGAACGAGCAACTACAGTAAATGTTTCGCTTGACCACATTTTATACTAAAATTGTTCCAGGTGACTGCACTTCATGACAGAATCAGTTTGATGATCAAGGCAGCTCATGATTGTGGTGTTAACATCGTCGGACTTCAAGAGGCTTGGAGTAGGATTATGTTTTTTTTGTATGTGAATTTGCATCAAGCAGTAACTCGCATCCTGAAGTACTTGTAAGACAGTAGTTGCAAGCTGACTTGGAGCTGTGCCAGGGAGGTTTACGTTGGGGCTCTAAATCCCCCCCCCCCCCCCCCCCCTATTTTTTTTGAAATGTGAAAAAATGCATTTTCTTTATCATACATGGTAATTTTTCAAAGTTTGAAACACAGTTTACATCCCCAAGACAAATATGATGGTGGATATGTAGTACAGATCCTTATTCTAAGCAGAAGAATGCAATTTGAATTATTGTTGATTATACAGGGTGTCCATAAAGTCACTACAATTTCAATTTTGTTCTGAAGTCAGTTATCAATATATCTTAACCAGGTTTGTTGTTTTAAACAGTAATTGTTCAAATATTTTTACTTCATTTAATACATCTGTGAGGGCCAAAACAATATATGGTATCGATAAATTCCCTTTGCAATGTTAAAAACTGTAAGACTTTATAAACACCTTATAATTTAACCATCTATTTTCTATCTCAGCGATGCCATTTGCTTTTTGTACTCGTGAAAAATCACCTTGGACTGAATTCGCTGAGTCAGCAGAAGATGGGCCAACCACTAAGCTATGCCAGGAGGTAAAATAACAGGTTTTTAATTCTGCCTTAGTTTCAAATTTTGATACTCCAGAAGTATGTGCACCAAGATGGCGTACACCGGAACGTAGTATGTGTACTAGGTTAGGTTTAGGCTATAATATCAGGTAAAAATACTACGAAGGTCACTTGACTAGTCCCCGAACTCGCAATAAAACTAAAATTAGAAAAATTGGAATAAAATTATGGCCTAACCCTAACCACGTACTGACGTACACATACTACGTTCCGGTGTCCGCCATTTGATTTTATTCAAATCACATATGCCAAGTGCGTGTTTCACACTGCAAACTAATTAATAGTATATAACATCTTTGTAAGTACGTGTGAAAGCTTATCCAGAACCTGGTTCATAGTACTTTATTATTATTTTATTCTATTTTGTATCTAATTCAGCGCTTCCCAAACTTTTTTGCCCCAAAACACCTCCGCCTGATTTTAGGTGCAAATACTACGGGAGTCACTTGGCTAGTCCCCAAACTCACAATAGAACTAAAATTAGGAAAATTGGAATAAGTTTTGGCCAACCCTAACCACGTACACATACTCAGGTGTCCGCCATTTTGGTGCACATACTTCTGCTGGAGCGCCCAAGTTTCATTCAAACCACATGTGCCAAGTGCTTGTTTCACACTGAAAACTAATTAATATTATATATTATCTTGGTATGTACAAGTGACAGCATATCCAAAACCTTATTATTGTTTTAATCTATTTGTATCTAATTCAGCGCTTCCCAAACTTTTTTGCCCCAAAACACCTCCGCTTTCTATCTCGCCTTGTGGAATACCCAAAAATTAGAAGGTGAAATTGATGAGTAGTTTCCAAAAAATTCAATGGTGCTCCCGAAGTATGCGAACCAAGATGGCGGACATCGGAACGTAACATGGGTAACAGGTTAGGGTTAGGCGATAATTTTTTTCCAATTTTCCTTGTTTTAGTCCTATTATCAGTTCGAAGACTAGCCAAGAGCCTCCTGTAGTATTTATACCTAAAATTATGGCCTAACCCTAACCTATTACACATATTACATTCCGATGTCCGCCATCTTGGTTCGCATACTTCGGGAGCCCCAATTCAACTATGGTGAAATTGAAAGTTTTCTTTAAACTTGACAAATAAAAATTAGGCCGATGCCACAAGGCCTGTCCCCCTATTTGTTGCCAGTTGTGAGATCAATTTCATACCAAGAGTCGCTGGTGTACGACTGAGTTCGCTATGGCGACCAGTTCCTCTTTCTTACAGCAAAGAACTATGGGAATGCTGGAAAAAATGACAAAAATACAAATAGGTTCTTTATATTAACCCTTGCCGTGCGGTGGGCACGTATACGTACCAACGACAAAAGTCGCTAGATTGCGGCGGGTACGTTGATGTACTCCACTGTTTTATTCAGCAATCGGTCGCAAACTGTTGGTCTAGTTTTTCCGGGTTTTAGTTTATTGATAAGAAGTCTTCTTCGAGGTTAACATAAGCGACGGTAAATCTCGCTTTCGTTTACGACGCGAATTTTATTGTGGCGGAACGAGGGAGTGTTTTTGAAATTTATGCAAATTTCGGTGTTTTTTGGGTGGTAATAGAAGACATATTATTCCTTCCATCTACCAAAGTATTTTGAGTTAGATAACGAAATTGCTACAGCAATATTATGCTATTGTTTGCCAACCACGAAGCTGTAACAGTAAAGAATTTAGCGAATATTTCTATTTTTTACCACGGTTTGAAGTTTCAACTCCCAAGAAAAAAAATGCCTTTTTTCTATCCGGTTTGTGACTCAGACCACCACTTTTAAAAAAACTTTTTTTTTTAATTGCCAATTGCAAGCTCTTTAAATAAACTTTCCAACGAGCCATCAGTGGGCAGCAGAGGATCATTAGTTTTTCGTTAGTCGATCGATTAGTTGTGGGGGTACAAATGCATAAAATCGGCGTAGCAAATACGATTATTTAAGAAAAAATAAAAATCGCATGGAAAGGGTTAATCTTAACTTGCCTAGGAGTCTAGGACCTTATGCAGAGAGGACTTATAAATTCTTCTTTCACCTTCACAGTTAGCAAAGAACTACAACATGGTGATAATATCCCCGATATTGGAACGGGATTCTGTACATTGTGGGGTTCTATGGAACACAGCGGTCGTTATTTCTAATTCTGGAGAAGTTCTTGGTAAAACGAGGAAAAATCATATCCCGAGAGTTGGAGACTTTAACGAGGTTTGTATTTTGTCACCAGCAAGTGGTGTTTGGTTACAGTCAGCTCACTGATCGCCAGTTTTGCAGTGTGTTTTGTTAACATTCATACTGGCTCTGTCCTGCCATCTAGTGTATTTGTCAACACTAGGTGATATTTAGTTCTCATTCACAACCAAACATTATACATTTTCTGATAGTTCTGTGATGTAATTGATTGAACAGATTTTTGCCAGTTATAACTCTGACAAGCTAACCAGTGTTTATCAGTTTTGTTTCAGGTATTTGAGATTTTCATGTTTATCCCGGAAAGAGGAGAGTCAATCAGTTTGTTAAATAATATGGCGTCTTGTCCATTTTTACAGGTATTTGTTTCAGATGCATGGACTTGGTGCTGGAGGAAACCGTAACCAACAAGCAGTTAGTTACATGAACCACCCTATGACAGTTCGGGTTCCAGCATTCTTCTCGTACATATTTAGAGTTATTAAACTAAAATATTCTCATATTTTATTCAATTACCTTTTTACAAAAATAAATTTATTCATAGCTGAGCGACAGTATTTTAGTTATGTCCATCAAAATTTATACTGCGCTCAAATGGCCGACATCAAAATGCTTTTTGTCACTATACACACAAATCACTTTTTTGTTATGTTTTCAGTCATATTCTTGCCATGGATCTAAAATACTTTTGTTTTTCTTTCAGTCGACCTATTACATGGAGGGTGACACCGGCCACAGAGTTTTTCAAACAGCATTTGGTAAAATCGCTGTGAATATCTGCTATGGGAGACATCACCCTCTCAACTGGTAAGTGTTTTGTATTTTGTACCATCAACTAGAGGTAAGATCAGGCCCAAAAATTTCAGCTCGGCCCGACCCAGGCCCGTGGGTATTAAAAACGACCCGAAACCCGACTAATTAACTGGATTTTCAAGCAGAACCGAAATTTCATGTTTTATTCACGAGCAGTAATAATAATATTAATTTTATAACATGTAGACCAGGGGTCGGCTACCTACGGCCCGCGGGGCAATATATTCCGGCCCGCGATGCTTCACTGAATTATAGTAACAAATTATATTCTAAATTATATTATAACGTAACAAGTATATAATTCATAATTACTCGTTTAATAAGCCTATGATTTAATTATAATTTAGACAAATGGCAACAAAACGCAGAAAAGTTGATGCTAAGTACAAACGGTTTAATGGTGCAGAAAATATTCAAATGGTCAGTCTTCGCGCGCTGCTTAAAATTTAACTTCTGATCTGTGTGAAAAAATGTGATTCATCGGTCATCTGTTCGGTTTTTAACTTTCTAAAATATGTGCGGCCCGTCAATGTCTTGCAACCTTTAATTTTGGCCCGCAAGCGACAAAAGGTTGCGACCCCTGATGTAGATCTTAGTTTAGTATCCATACATAGTTTCAGTATATATTTTTTATAAACATATATTTATTTAAAAAAAAGTCCGCGATAGTGAAGCCCGACCTGAACGTAATGATTGACATTTCAGTTCAATAGTTTTCCCCTTCATGCTAAGATAAGAATTGTGTATCAATTTATCCCGGGGATAAGGAAGTCGATAAGATGGTTAAGTCATATAGCAAACCAGTCCATGTTGGTCATCTATTTCAGATGCATGGCCTTGATGGAGGAAGTCGTAACCAACCAGTGGTTACGTGAACCACCCATGATAGTGAGGAGTCCAGCAATCCTTTCGCACATAATAATCCCCACATAATTTGAATCTGCGAACCCATGCAGGATAATCAGATAACAAGCGTATCCGTAACGCTTCACTGCAGTTCCCGCTCCAAGCCTTCCAACTATCAAATTTGTTTACACTAATAATTACCATCATGTCATTATTTGATTTTACCTATCACAACAACTATAATCACTGGTCATCCAGCTGTAACAACCTGCCTCTGTTCATTCCATGCCCAAGGCACTCTTGTTAGATTTGACACTTTATCCATATTTTAGAACTCAGAAAGTTGATTGCCAAGTTTTATTTCATCCAACGGGCACTGGCAGCAATTGAAATAACTTTTTAAACATTTTCTTTTTCTAATCAAAAATTTATTATATTGACTATAATTAAGGATAGAAATTTGGCTCTCTATTTGGACAAAAGTGACAATAGTTATATGGATATTCACTTACTGACATTGTTAGATGTCCTAAAGATATTTTCGACAAGTTTTTTTTTAAATTTAATACGCAACGTTTCTGGAAAGTTACTTCAAATCCACCATAAATCGTATTGAGGAAATTTCAAAACAAGGGATCTCTTTGTGCCCATTTCTTGCAACTCTCTTCTCCATATAACTGCTCTTGGCCATGCATAAAATGAAAAAAAATGAATCTCAAACATAAATGATTGAGATATACATATTGAAACCCCTAAATTACATTTTTCAAAGCTGATGTGTCCACATTTAGTTGAGGGCTCGGGACCTTGCTTTGAGCGAACTTACAACCCTTCTATCAGTGCTCTTTCCACTTTTAGTTGAGGGATCGGGTCCTTGCTTTGTGCAAACTTACAACTCTTCTATCAGTACTTTTTCCATATTTAGTTGAGGGCTCGGGTCCTTGCTTCGAGCAAACTTACAACTCTTCTATCAGTACTTTTTCCATATTTAGTTGAGGGCTCGGGTCCTTGCTTTGTGCAAACTTACAACTCTTCTATCAGTACTTTTTCCATATTTAGTTGAGGGCTCGGGTCCTTGCTTTGTGCAAACTTACAACTCTTCTATCAGTACTTTTTCCATATTTAGTTGAGGGCTCGGGTCCTTGCTTTGTGCAAACTTACAATTCTTCTATCAGTACTTTTTCCATATTTAGTTGAGGGCTCGGGTCCTTGCTTTGTGCAAACTTACAACTCTTCTATCAGTACTTTTTCCATATTTAGTTGAGGGCTCGGGTCCTTGCTTTGTGCAAACTTACAACTCTTCTATCAGTACTTTTTTCATATTTAGTTGAGGGCTCGGGTCCTTGCTTTGTGCAAACTTACAACTCTTCTATCAGTACTTTTTCCATATTTAGTTAAAAGACCGGGGCCTTGCTTTAAGCAAACTTACGGTACAATGCTTCTTTCAGTGCTCTTTCCACATTTAGTTGAGGGCTCGGGGCCTTGCTTTGAGCAAACTTTCAACTCTTCTATTAGTACTATTCTATTAGTACCCTAAATTACATTTTTCAAAGCTGATGCGTGTCTACAGAGATCAAATACTTGAACCCTTTATCACCGCTACTAATGCAAAAATGTGAAATTTGAGAAAAACACCAGCGCCACGTTTTAAAAATTTCCTTTTCCAGGCTGATGTTTGGACTAAATGGAGCCGAGATCGTATTCAATCCTTCAGCTACAGTCGGAGCATTGTCGGAACCAATGTGGCCTATCGAAGCTCGTTGTGCAGCCATTGCGAATCATTACTTTACATGTGCGATCAATAGAGTTGGATCGGTAAGATGCTTTTGGGTGTTTACTCAGAACAAGGCTTTAGACCAGGGAAGCCGCAAAACATTTTAAATGGTTGAATATAGTAGATTTCTTGATGATCAAACGGTAGCGCACGCCCTACAAAGAGGCGTAACCAAGATTTGAGGGGCATTGAGCTAATTAAAAAAAAATATTTGTTAGGTTTGATCTTGTCTATCTTATTTTGGATATCCACATTTCTTTATTTCTGATATTTACGTTCCATCCTCGTATTTTCAGCGTGTTTTTTAAAAGATCTTTCGCTACTATGTATTATTTTGTAGCTTATTGTTAGCTACTGGTAGTTATTTTTAAGGTGGGGCGCAAGACTTAAAAAGTAAATTCTCAAATTGGAGTGCGACCTAAAAAGTTTGAGAACCACTGCTCTGGAATGAATTTGTGATATAATAGTATTCGATTTATATATATAGTATTCGATGCCACTCATAGCCTGTATCTCAGCGACAGCAGTGCTTTAAAATTGACAACGATTTACTTTAATTTTCAGGAAACTTTTCCAAACGAATTCACTTCTGGCGACGGAAAGAAGGCTCATAAGGATTTCGGACATTTTTATGGTAAGTTGTCTTGGTGTTATACTTTCATCAGTCTGGCGGTAAGACGCGTTGTGCTAAGCATTAGGATCACCTCTAATTATCTTGCAGGTATGAATATGTGCAAGAGGATTGCTGTATTCGTCGCTGCTGCAGGGTAGTTCACGTAACATCTGGTCAGTTTACGCCATCCTCCATATTCAAGCACATGCATCGGAAAACGAATAACCGGCTAAATAATCCCATACCCGACCACGAGAGACGTCCTATCAACCTTTCTCTCTCTCGGGATAAATATGCAAATCCTTTCCTATCATTTTGTTTTTACTTAGTTGGGGTAGTGTGTAGGGTACTCCCGCAGTACAGCGTTTCCTAAACCGTGTTCCAAGTGTCCAAAGCGTCTTCCGAGTGTTCCGTAGAAAAGTGATCAAAGTTACGACTAAATTGGTCGTCACTGCAATCTCTAAATCGTGAAGTTGTCGCTCCACTGGAGATCGTTCGGGGCTCCCGAAGTATGCGAACCAAGATGGCGGACATCGGAATGTAATATGTGTACTAGGCTAGGGTTAGGCCATACTTTTAGGTATAAATACTACGGGAGGCTCTTGGCTAGTCTTCGAACTGATAATAGGACTAAAATAAGGAAAATTGGAAAAAAATTATCGCCTAACCCTAACCTGTTACCCATGTTACGTTCCGATGTCCGCCATCTTGGTTCGAATACTTCGGGAGCACCGATCGTTCAATATCGCGTCACCTTAACCCTAAAGTGGACTAACTTTTTGAGGGTAGTGTCATTTTTGTTAAACGTTGGCTTAGAGAGTTAAATTGATTTTATTGAATATATACAAAGCAATTAGAATGAGAAACATATGCAGTATGTGAAATATTCAATCATATTTTAGTTATGTTAACACAATTATGTTGGTTTTCGTGGCGCATTTGGCAACTCGCCACGGCGCACCCTTTGTAATCGCTGCATTACACCATTTTTCTTTATCAAATTCCATCTTTTATTTTTTGGTGTTCCGCGGGGACAGATAAAAATCGTAAGTGTTCCGTGGCCAAAAAAGTTTGGGAAACGCTGCCGCTAGGCCATAATTTTATTCCGATTTTTCTTATTTTAGTTTTATTACGAGTTCGGGGACTGTCTGTGTTAGCCAAGTGAATACACCCCTGTTCATAGGCTTCAATCCCTTTACTCAACTTGATGTTACATAGGCGAACAAAATTAGTTACCTCCATATTGATACACACACTTCCGAGCGTCGTTTGTAGTTGTCTACTGTTAAATCCTATGAAAATATCTCACCTAGGGTGTGATACAATGCAAACTAGAAAAATCCGGCCGATCAAAAAATAGTGAGCTTTTATGTATCATTAGTTGCATCCCTAGAAATTTATTTTGAATAGAAGCATGGAAAAAGCGATTTTCAAAACATACCCTGCCTATGAATTTTCACCCCAACTTATCCAATAATGGAATTCTCTGTACGGGAGCTCTCGCTTTTCCTATTCTATTGTATTTGAAAAATTCTGGGTATTTTTAAATTTTGATCTTTGCCCCCCGAACAATGGGTTCAAAAATAAAACAACTTCAGCTCCCAATTTATTTGAAAGTCGAAATACCAATTATTTCTGACTCCCTGTTATATTTTATCAGCAGATGGCAATATACTGCCAAAGTGATTTTGATTTGGAATTGGCTTTTTTATTCCCGAAATTATAGAAAACTTGATCTTACTTCTAAAATCCGAGAGATTCCAGCTTATTCTAACTCAAAAGCTAATTTTATTTTCAGGCTCAAGTTATGTTGCATCACCAGATGGCAGTAGAACTCCAGGATTATCTCGTACTCGTGATGGACTTCTTGTGACCTCAATTGACCTCAACTCTTGTCAACAGATCGCTGACAAATGGGGATTTAGGGTAAGTATTGTTAGAAATGTCACTTGTCTGGCGTTAAGCCTTTTAGGTACTTTTTTCGGTGCTCCCGAAGTATGCGAACCAAGATGGCGGACATCGGAACGTAACATGGGTAACAGGTTGGGGTTAGGCGATAATTTTTTTCCAATTTTCCTTATTTTAGTCCTATTATCATTTCGAAGACTAGCCAAGAGCCTCCCGTAGTATTTATACCTAAAATTATAGCCTAACCCTAACCTAGTACACATATTACATTCTGATGTCCGCCATCTTGGTTCGCATACTTCGGGAGCCCCCAAATTTTAATGTTTTAGATCAGGTTGTGCATTCAACCGTAAATACAGGAAGGCCAGATAAAAAAAACTTAGTAAAACTGTGAACCATACCTTTATTTAACATAGGCTTTCTAGCAGTTGCAGACACAAAAATTTAAAAATTAGCTGTGACCGGGACTGTACTGAGGAATCAAAACGTCATAGGCATAGATAATAATTTGGACTCAGGAATAGGCTTTGCATGTACCAGATTGAACTAAATTGTGAACTGTTATGTGGACAGCACACCATTCAGAATTGGCACTTCTCTGCGGGGCACAAAATATTTCCTTGTGCGCAAGTTGCACACCCCTGTTTCAGCTGGTAATTTTTATCTTTTATTTAGCTTCATAAAATTCATGCAAAACTAAAGAATTATCAATCATGCGAGAAAATTTGTGCTTGCTAGACTCCACCCCTTTCCTTGGGTGATTTATGTGGTTACTGGTTAGTTACTCTCCCCCATCTATTCTATTCTGGAACACTGATCAGGTTAGGTATGACTATGTGGAGTGCACAGGCATAATTCAGTGTGGTTTAATGTTTATCCATAACAGTGCTTTCCAAACTGTCGGTAGCGACCCCGCAGGGGGATGCACAACGTATTTTGTGGTTCGCAAAGAGTGTACCGATTTTACACATAGTAATATATCTATTGACTTTTTATTTGTAACACAATTATTAAAACTAGTGCAAAACATGAATCTCTCGATTTCGAGAGAATACATAGGATTAGATAAACAGCGGTGCTTGCATAACAATGCTGGTCGCGGAAAATTGGGAGAGGTCGCGAGCTTAAAAGTTTGGGAAGTCCTGGCTTATAATACATAAGGTGATGCCAATTTTGAAAGTACTAAAAACTTTCTGGCTTAGCATTTCCTACCCGATTTATTACACCCAGGATAGGGTTGTTCGCGTACCATTCAAAGCAGGGGTGTGCAACAATTTTGTCAGGGGGTCATATAACCAACTTCAGACGTATAGCGAGGCCACACAAAAAAAAGGGTGCTCCCGAAGTATGCGAACCAAGATGGCGGACATCGGAATGTAACATTGGTAACAGGTTAGGGTTAGGCGATAATTTTTTTCCAATTTCCCTTATTTTAGTCCTATTATCAGTTCGAAGACTAGCCAAGAGCCTCCCGTAGTATTTATACCTAAAATTATGGCCTAACCCTAACCTAGTACACATATTACATTCCGATGTCCGCCATCTTGGTTCGCATACTTCGGGAGCCCCAAAAAAAGTCCATATACAGAACGAATTACAGTAAAGGCATCGGGCAAAACAGCAAAATACATACCGCAGCAACAAAAGCAAAAAAAAAAAAATTATGCATTTTTACCCGTGTTAGCGCATTTTTAAACATAAACTGTCGGATTATTACTTTATGCTTGTTAGGGAAAAATCTGAATGTTGACGGGGGCCACACTAAATGGCCTGGCGGGCAGGGTTATGGCCCTCGCGCTGCCTGTTGCACACCCCTGGTTTAAAGTTAAGCTCAGTAACACTATAAGTCCTGCCAATTCTGCTTTAGTTGTAATTACCTCTCATCTCAATTTGTTTTCATTCTTCAGATGACTGGCAGATATGAAATGTATGCTGACTCATTGAAGAAATACGCAAGTCATGATTTCAAGCCCGACATTGTCAAAGAAAAATAGAATCAGAATCTTCCAACAATCCAAAACAAATCAGAAAGTTTGGAAACCAATAATTCAAACAAATCACAGTACAGGTTGTATCGTTATCACCCAGCCATATACCCAAAACTGTATTAGGTGTTGTTTTATTATTATTTTTATCATCGTTTTCTGGTTTGACGAAAAAATAAAATCTCTCTCCCTTTGTCAGTAATTGGAAATCATTGTTGAATGACTCAATTCAGAATATTCTTTGGATACAGCATCTGTTGGAATTCATATTTAGTGTGTTTCAACAATCATATATTATTATGTACATTTCATGTTCACTGTCAATTGCCAAAGTTATCGCACTATTGCACCATATTTTAATTTAAATACACTTGTCATTGGATAATTCTAGCGAGACAAAACTTCAAATATGTATGTTTCATCGTGTCTTTGCCAAATTCATTACACAGTTGCTTTTTTCATCATAGTTCAAATATACAGGGTGTCCATGACGTCCCTTTACAGTTTCAATTTTGTTATGAAATTCTCAATATATCTTAACCAGGTTTGTTTTTCTAATCAGTAATTTTTTTTTTAACTTCATTTAATACATCCGTGATGGCCAAAATGGTGTCGATTTATTCCCTTGCAATATTCGAAATATCAATAAACAATTCAATAGCTTTTTCTCATAATTGTTCATATGGGCATACTGGCCATTGCTCTAGTCTACATTGGCCAACCCTGCAATATGTTTTGTATACTCTTGCGTGTCTAAATTGCCAAAATTATTACACAAATTGTGTTTCTATCGTAGAATTATTCTGACAAAATTTAGAAGTATATGTCAAGTCTCGCGCTCATTTCAAAAATAACTATCTAACACTACAAATAACAGATAGTAAGATAGATAGTTCTTTGAAAAATAAGTATGTCGGTATGTGCCAACAATTTCATCTTTTATTTGTAACAATTTTATTTTAATTTCCGTCCCTAAATAATCATAATCTTGCCTGATAGCAATGAATTTGAATGAACTGTGAAAACTAAAAGTGGCTGGTAAATCAGACTGAAATGTCAGGTTAAGTTTTCACAGAAATTCAGTTTAAATCAAAAATATGTTCTTTTGTGTATTTCATGTTTCCTCACAATCGCCAAATCCATTAGACACTTCCATAGCTGAAGAAATTTGTGTTTGTGTGCTTAAGTCTCTCACACAAGCTATAATCGTTCATTTTAATTATTTCTTTTTTCATTAAATCATAACTTTCTTGTTGGCAACGAATGTTTCTTGTTTAACGAATTTTTACAGATTCAAGAAGAAATATTCACGGACTTAGAACTACACTTTAGGTATAACTGAATTTATCATTTAAGAAATGCTTGTGAATTCGCCAAAACTGAGAACTTCTGCAATCAGAAAGCCCTGAATATGTTTTTGCATCTTATTGAAACAACATGCATTTGTAGCCCGAAAACATCAAAAGACTTTTTAGAGTTCTTTTAGAATAGTCAATATGGCATCCGAAGAGTTAGGATTACCAGCTCACCAAAAAGTAGATATGTTGTAGATTTTATGTTTTCTCACAGTTGCTAAAGTTACCACATAATAAATTGCAATTGTCCTTAAAGAAGTCTAGGCTTTGCTTTGAGTAAATTTGAAACATGTATTTGTGTCGGTGTGTATTCGGATTTTCAAACAATTCATTTTGTTATAATATATATTGTTTTTTAAATTAAATCATAACTTTACGTGTTAACAATATATTTAATTTTCAAACTGTAATATCAGGTGTCGAAATGATCAAAAAACATTTAAATGGAATTTGAAATTTGTACTCCTTGATCTGTATTAAGAATTTAGTTTTTCTTATAAAATTTGCAATTTTTACTGTGTAATTGTGGCTAATGCCAAATCTGACTAAAATTTAACATATATCAGTATATGCCATGTTTTTGCAAGTAATCCTTTCGATTCAGAATTTCCTACAGAATTGTTTGAATACAGTGTTAGACACTCCCAGAACCAGCCTTTTGCAACTCAGATTTGAAAAAATTTGTTGCTGTCCAATACCATTGTTTTGCCTTTATAACTACGAGCAATTCAAATAAATGACACTCAACACTCGACTCGAACCCTGAACTTGGAAAAAATCAAATTTCGATAACAACTGTGCATGCATCTCTTTCAGTGTTTTATCAGAATTTGGAATTAGTATTATAAATTTCGATTAGAATATGAAATTCCGATTCTAGAGGATTCGAAACGGAATTCAGAACCCAGAGCCCAAATATAATTTCAAAATATCCGACGAATCAATTTTGATCAACAGCTTTGGTCGTAATTATGTGCTGAGATAGCATCTTGTGTCTCTGCCTGGTATTTTGACCCTATTTACTCTATTACTCTAACCCCAGCTGGATAATTACTAATTTTTTATTTTAAAATGGTGGGTGTGTTTCTCTCAAATCTCACAATTTTGCATTACTGGCGTGAGTTTTTTACAAAATATCTGAAATTCCAACCCGAGGAGTCGGAAAATGACTTTTCTCTGATACTTAGTAACTCCGTCCGATTGCTTCTTCGTAATTGCTATGCACTCTTAATTGCCTTGATTAAATCTTTTAAAATGACATTTAAATTCGTTCCAAATAAATTGTGCAATTCATCAAATTGATTTCACTTTGCCATTGTCTTTTTTGAGTGCTATATTGTGATGCAATAATTATGTGGTGCATGTTTTTGGTGCCTTAGAAATAAAATATAGCGAGTGTTCTTCAGTCTCTGTGTTATGCAAAGAGTATGGGTACTGACATGGGCAAACTACAGCCGCAGGCCAAATCGGGCCCGTTGTCTCATATCCGACCGCAAACTTAATATCTCTCTTCGGCTTAAATAGATTGACGGATTGACAAGTAAATAATGGGTATTTTGGAGAGCTGAGATCATCTGCCTTCATACATGAATTTCTTGAATGAAAAACACTGGAGCACTGATGTTTCTTTTCTTGTTCCTTGTAATTTTTTTATTCTTATTCCAGTACTTTTGGGGAATTGATTTCTGAGGCCTCTTAAACGGGCTTAAAACTCAAAAATTTATTTTTTTCCCTATTGCAATTATGATGCCTGCTTTAGAGTGTCCTGTCCTGGTAGAAACTCTCCTTAGGGGTCGGTTAACCTTGGAAGTCTTGCCCGTCCCCTTCCGTATATATTTTTATGCTTACTGCATGATGTACTCGTATCGGAAATAAATCATTATCTATCTATCTGTCTTATCTTGGCTGACCGGAGTTAAATTGACCTCTTGACACCCATTAATAAAATTCTCACGATAATCATAATGCTCCATGTAATTTTGACGTAAGCGTTATCTTGATGTAGATGAGTAATTCTCAAAGGTATATTCTTTTATGATTATTGTTGTTAGCTCATGATTACTGTATCGGAATGATTACTGTACTTGTATCGGAAATAAATCATCTGTCTTATCTTGGCTGACGGGAGTTAAATTGACCTCCTGACACCCATTAATAAAACGATAAGCATAATGCTCCTTCATGTAATTTTGACGTAAGCGTTATCTTGATGTAGATGAGTAACTCTCAAAGGTGCTATTCTAGACTTAGTCTGTTCATGAATGTCTAAATTCATGAAATCTTCAAATAAAATGAATTCTTGTTCTGTCGTATTCATAATGAATTGAAAGAAAACTAGTTTCATTAAACACTTTTATTAAGCCATAGTAAGCAAATTGCATGTAAAACACAAAGAGAGTTAAATTAAAGAAAAATTAAACAAAGAAAGCAGATGAATTCGTCATAATAATATTCCTAAGAATGCAAAAAATAATGTGCGTTACATACAACTCAACTTGACTATTTCGGAGAATTCGAAAGAACATTTTGATACAGTTTTATCCCTATTCTAAAAGCATGGTAGCAGCTGTTGAAGACAGTATGTGCGCACAATAGGGAGAGGAAACTTGATTAGACTTCTTAATCAAACCGTGTCCCCCCGAAAAATATGACTGAGTATTATTTCAATTTTCTTTCAAAAAATAACACTAGCGATTATTTTGGGGGGATGTCTTATATTTTCATTTAACAAAACAAAGTAAAAAATTATGAGATTTTCAAATGATATGAGAACCGTTTTACTTATAAATAACATGTTTTTATTCAAAATAACTGCTAAACATGGGTTATTAATCATTTAAAACGTGTGGAAGAGATTTCTTGCTGTTGATTAGTTTAAAAAAATTCAGGCCAAGTTATTTAAACATCATGATGAACCATGGCCTACTTTAGAAGGCAAATTAAGTGTATGAAGCTCTCAATATTAAATTTTTGATTAAATTTTTTTTTTTCAAAATAAATGTTATTTTGGGAATTTTGTTGGTGTTACAAATATAGTCGTAAGATTATCGAAGTTGTTACTTCTTCACACATCTCATATACATGATAGAACTTAGAATTCAAAAAATGAGATATTTTTGTAATTTGTTTTTATAATTCTATAAGAAGAAATTTCAGTTAAATTAGCATAATCCTATTCCTCACAAAAAAGCACTCTCTAACAATAATAGTCAATTAAAATAAATTGAAATAAAAAATTACAATATAGAATTAAAAATTACCTTCAATGTTAGAAAAAATAAAAATTAATTACTCAAACAAAGCTAACACAATATTTCAAACGCTTAAAAGCAAGCAGAAAAAGTAAATTAAAGCCTCAAAAAATAGCTTGCTCTCGTAGTATGTGTACCAAGTCAGGGTTAGGCCATACTTTTTATTCCGATTTCCTTATTTTTTTAGTTCTATTACGAGATCGGGGACGGTCTGTGTTAGCCAAGTGAATATACCCCCTGCCCATACGCTTCAGTCCCTTTATCTTTATTGGTACACACACTTTTGAAATTTTTATCAAAAACAATAAAAAGTTCTCTATTTTGGACTATTGGATTGAACGTATGTACTCCTGCTGTAGTAAGTGAAATGAACCGTTTACAACAGGGGTGGGCAACATACGGCTCGAGGGCCGCACAAGATTTTGACCGGCCCGCTGACTGTACATCAGTATATTATGATATCACATTATTACACTTTTAGTACATTATGATAAATTCATTATGTGTTTTTTGGTCTCTAATTTTTGTAAAGTTCAAACTTTACTTCAGACGTGATTTATAATTTTCTTTCGTTCATTTGCGAATAAATATGTGATTAACATATTGAATACTATTCATGTAATAATCCGGCCCATCGAGAACTTCATTTTCCCACATCTGGCCCGCCGATTAGGGAAGTCGCCCATCCCTGCTCTACAACCATGGTGAAATTCACAATGCTCATATGTGTTCCGATTCCCAAATAGGTTTATGTATCATCAAAGTCAAGCTAATTCTAGTTTGGACTATTGGATTGAACACACTGTTGCAGTACCATAGAGAAACCATAGAGAAAATCTGCATCTGTTAGGCTTTAAAAACACATAAAATTTGAACATAAATGAATAGAATAATAACGCCCATAAAACAGAACTCACATATACTCAGTTTTCACAGGTTATGAGTGAAATCGAAGTATAAACCTCATGACTTTATTCGTTGTTAAAAGTATGTTTGTATATCCCTCAGTAAAAAATAAACCTTATGCTATTAAAGCAGTCCCAGTTTAAAATAACCTCTGGTTTTGCAAGAACACCATATGGCTTAAGAAGGTTCACCTTCACCTAAGGTGTTGTAAATTAGATAGGCGATGTCGGGAGGGAAAGATTTCTCCAGTCATTATAACCAGAATTGGAATTCAATTTTTTTGTCAGCCGGTTCCATCACAAAAGTCATATTTTTCACCCGGTTCTGTTACAAAAAGTCATTGACAGTAACCAGTAATGCTAACCGGTTCGCTGTTCTCATAAAATTCCGTGAGACGGTTCTATAGAACCGGTGCAAACCGGCTGAATCCCACTACTAATTATAACTATGGTAGCTGTTTAAGCTACTGTGTCTGCTGGTTAAAGTACAAAATATTCATCTCTGTTATCCGGTACACTACAAGATTGGGGGCTCCCGAAGTATGCGAACCAAGATGGCGGACATCGGAATGTAATATGTGTACTAGATTAGGGTTAGGCCATAATTTTAGGTATAAATACTACGGGAGGCTCTTGGCTAGTCTTCGAACTGATAATAGGACTAAAATAAGGAAAATTGGAAAAAAATTATCGCCTAACCCTAACCTGTTACCCATGTTACGTTCCGATGTCCGCCATCTTGGTTCGCATACTTCGGGAGCACCCAAGATTGAAATTTAAACTGCCCATATGGGCTTAAAATTCAGTTTTAAGACGACCCTTAAGTCCGAAGTTCGCAGAATAAGCTTGAAAAATACACAGATGAAAAAAAAATAGAATGATGAAGCCTCAAAGACTTTTAAGCAGCAATTACGACAATTCTTTGACCATATTTAAAAATAAAAAAGAGTTCAAAAACGGCTTTTGCTCATTTGAACTTGCCATACATGCAAAACCATTTTTGAAAGTTGACGAAATTTTATAACTACTGAAGCGTTAAAAATATTATGAAGAATACCTTGGAACTTCATCAAGCTCAAAGTTTCGACTTTGAGTAGCAAAGAATTATCAAGAGGGGGAATCCTGAAGAGTCTAAAATACGTTTAAAACTTCGAATGTGTATGAGACAGATAACTGTTTTATTTTACATTCCAAAATTGGGGATTCAGACTCTCAAATTCCCCACCCCTGGCCACAACCCTAACATAGAAATAATCAAATAAGTAAATGAATCACACGCAGAAACCGTAGGAAAGGAGTAGGGGGGCAAAGAGCAGCTCTCATAGAAGATTAGTTACGTTTAGTACAAAGCCTTGGTAAAGCGAATGTGTGACAACGTTTAAAAAAATTCAATATTCGAAAAGAGGAATTTTTACTGTCCCAGTTCAGAAAATAGTTTATAATTAAGATATAAAAAGCAGGCAATCATGATCAGAATTCCAATGGTTAAATAAATAATTGACTGGATGGACAAATAGTATCGTCTTTCACATTAGTGACAGATGCTAGTCAGAAGTGTTGATCTACATTTATATGCGAAAAGCAAATTTTTTTTTATGTTTTGATCCATATAAAAAAACAGGCACTGCACTCTTGATTATCAAAATTCTGGTTGATCAAAATAAAAATTTAGAACGGAAAATAGAAC